AAGAAAAAAATATATCTCTGTCGAGACTGTAGCTCTACTCGTTTGTACTTACTTATAATAAAAGAAGAAAAAAGTAGCAATTGGGGCTTAAAATTTATAAAAAGCAATAAATAGAATGACAGTCCTTAATTAAGTCTATTTTTGTGGCAAGATTGCAATAAAACTATAACTGTAGTAATAGCTTTCAATAAAATTTTACAGAATTTTCAATTTTAGTTACCATGGCAACGTCATTCAACACACTCAAAAACACGAAACTGATAATAGTATATGCCAGTATAGTCTACTTGCATGCCACATTATATTACAATCTGACTAAAACTGTAAGAGCTGTAGCATTTTGAATGAATTTCACAGAAATTTCTATTTTAGTAACAACGGCAACATCATTGATCGAAATCAAATACCTATATCTTTAAGTGTAGTCTACATGTGAGCTAAGTTATTTAGAAATCAGACAAAAATGTTGGATAAGTAAAATTTTATTACATTATTTCTATCTTTAGTAACTAAGGCAAAAATAAAAAAACCGACGCAGAAATTAAGTATCTTTGTGTGCTAAGTTATATTGAAATCAGACCAAAGGAGTAGTAGCATTTAAAAATATTTACAGATAGACGGACAGACAGACAGACTACAAAATGAAGTATTGCGTCATTTAGAATTTTACAAACATACAGTACCGACCGGACACAACCTAACAGAAAGCGAACCCAGAGCGGACCCCGGGTTCGCTCTCTGGGTCCGCTCCGGGTTCGCTAGGGGTCCGCTAGGGCTGACCCCGAGCGAACCCGGAGCGCACCCAAAGCGAACCCGTAGCGGACCCCGAGCGAACCCGAAGCGGACCCAGAGAGCGAACCCCAAATTCAGTAGCGGTCCCAGAGAGCGAACGCGGGTTGTGTATTTCTTTACAGAGCTGTCAATCAGGATTAGCGATTAACCAATCAGCGCATCAACCAATCAAAATAGCATATTGATCTGTCGATTGGGATATAAGATCGAACGTATTGATTTAATTCGACATAAATCCAAGCACTGTACATACAAGTAAAACGTGTGAATGTACTTTGTTAATCTATTGTAATAATTAAAATATTATTAAATAATTATTTATTTTAATTCTCCGGGTTGTACTTTATATTTATATAATATTTAATTTCTTTTTTATTAAAGCAATTAATTAAATAAATTGGGTAAATACATCAGTCAATGCATAAAAATGGAAATCAATTGATGTTACAATTCTTACTGACAAAAAGCGGAGAAAAGAAATATAGTTGATCTTCGACAATTATTGTAAAATTTCATCATCTAAAGTTGAATTGGAAATTTATACAATTACTATTAAATAAAGAAAGAAATCCAAACCGCTTTAAAGTACGTTTGGTTTATCGGGGTATACTCAGATGAAGTGCGATTTACATAATTGAACTAATTAATTACGCTAATTAATCACGACATTTAGTAAATCGTACATTGTTTCATTCTCTCAAAATGCTTTACTATACTTGACAAAGAATAATCAGAGAAACATAATATAGAAGGGATATTTTAACATATGAATTATAATCTATTATAAATTTTGAGATGTTTTAGGACTAATTATTGGGAAAAAAAATTAATAAAGGCGTTAAACAATGCATAGTTACGTGGGTTGTTCGAAAGATGGTAACGCAAACTAACTGTAGAGTTACACTAAGTTGAAAGAATAAATAAATCATCAGGAATTGGGTCTAATTCACGTTCATTCTGGTGAATTCATTCCAGTTTGATAATACCATAAGGGCGGAATAACTTCAATCTGTGCATCCAGAAGGAAGATTTTTATATACACGCATTTTTTTTCATGCCCAAGAACATGAAGAAGACTAAGAAGATTAATAATTTTGATGTAAATTTTGAATAATTTGATGTAACACGTAAATTGAGAAATCATAAATACAATAATTAAATAATTAGAATTTTTTAAAGACAATGTGTGTGTGAAATAGGGGGCATATATTTATATATTCTTATCGGGTCGGGAGAACAATTATTATTTGCCTTTTTCTTTATTCTGATAAAAATCATTCTCGCTCCAAAATTTTGACCTTGAAAAAGCTCTAATATACAGTGAAATTTTTTTTTTAGAAAATGTCCGGTAAATATTTATTACGAACTTTTAATGTGTAACTACTATAAATAAAGTCTGAATATATCAGATGTACAAAAGGTTACATGTAATTTATAGATGCGATATCATAATTCACGTGTTTAGTAAACATTCAAACTACGATTTAGCAAAACGTAAGGAATAACAAATGTATTTTTAAACTATATAAAGCCTGAATTTAAAAGGTATTCCGTTTAAATTTCTTTCGTCAGTTTCACTTGTACATGTACACCATTCGATACACTGAAAATCAATTCAACACTCTTTTCTTCCTCTTCTTTTTTGTTTTCTCGTCATAACTTACGAAAAATAAATGCCTTATTACCCGCTGTTAAATAGTTTGAATTTCTCGGGATAGAGAAATCAAGGAAATCAATTATTCATGTACATGTAAATCTACGTCTAATAAACAGTTTAATTTCAGAAAATTTATCAATGTTCTCCATAATGTCACTGTTTACATGTACAGTGTACATGTCCGCATCGTCGCATAAACAACAATGATCGATCCACAATACCATTACTGTATTGGAATATACAAGGGGCGGGGCTTACTGGCGGTGAGATTAAAGCGGGGTCCGCTTCACGCATCAGTTCGTAAAGCGGTCCCAGGAAGCGAACACCGGGTTCGCTCTAGCGGACCCAGAGCTGACCCCGAGCGAACGCGGAGCGAACCCGGAGCGAACCCAAAGCGCACCCGGAGCGGTCCCAAAATTTCTGAAAGCGAACCCGAAGCGGACCCCGAGCGAACCCGTGAACCTCTGGTGTTAGGTTGTGTCCGGTCGGTACTGTAAGCTTCACCACGCAAGTGAGTTAAGGCTAAATATGTATATTTTTATGCAAATAAGCTAACGAAAATTCATAATTTGTATATTTTATGTACAGAAAAGGTTCAAATTGATTTTCTGATACATACTCAGTACCCACAGTTTATTAATGCAAGTGCACATTATGACGTCATATTATGACGTCATTGTTCTCTCCCATTCAAGGTATTAAATCATATAAACAAAATCACGTTGGCGCAAGGGCCTATCCTATCTAATTTAAAATAAACAATGTATAATATTAAGGTGAATATTCTAAAAATTAATAAAATTGCTGCACAAATCCTATGCACTTTCTCAATTGATAAAAATTTTAGGAAACTTACCCTGGACAGTGAATTTTTACCCTGTTAAAACTTAAAAATGCACGAATAGTAAGTAACCAATTGCACTGCCGACATTTGTGCAGCAATATCGTAAATCCTTGGAATATCCTGCGTCTTTTGATACCTTGTTTATGTAAAACAAAGTAAGGTATGCCCTTGCGCCGAAGCGATTTTGTTGATGTTTCTTATAAACTTGTGTAGTACAGGTCGATGACGTCATAATATGACGTCATAATGTGTACTGGCTATCTCATGTCGTGTGTACCAAGAATGTATTAGAAAACAAGTCTTAGCATTTTCTGTGCGGTGGGTAGAGCAATTATGGAATTTAATTAGATATTTTGTATAGAAATTTCCATATGTAGCCTTAACTCACATGCGCAACTTCATTCGACATGGTTTTTCATAATTTGACAATTAAATACATGTACTGGTTTTCAAAATTGATTCTAAAATAATCATGCCACAGAAATGTATTCAAGTAAAACTGATAACAAATGAAGGGTGAATGAACCTTTTCTCAAAATAATATATTATTCAATGTACTGCATTCATTTGTATTCTTTGTGTTTAATAAACTTAAACATAGATAGTCAATATTGATGTCTCTCTTCATCGAAATCTGGAGAAACGAATCAGATTAAAAATACAATTATAGTGAAAATTATAAATTTATTTCTCGATACGTATATCTGAGGTACGGTGGTATATTTAGGACACGCAATTATTTTTTTTTAATACCAGAAAAAAATTATCTTTTGAAAACGACATAATTATTATCTTGTGAAAATGAGATTCCTTAACACGACTCATCTTGTGAAAACGAGATAATATCTTGTGAAAACGAGATATTATCTTGTGAAAACGAGATATTCTCCTATGAAAACGAGATATTCTCTTGTGAAAACGAGATATTATCTTGTGAAAACGAGATAATATCTTGTAAAAACGAGATAATTATCTTGTGAAAACGAAATAATATCTTGTTAAAACGAGAAAATTTCTTGTGAAAACGAGATAATATATCTTGTGAAAACGATATATTATCTTGTGAAAACGATATATTATCTTGTGAAGACGACTTATTATACTTAATTGTTTTCACAAGATAATATGTCGTTTTCATAAGATATATTGTTTTCACAAGATAATATGTCGTTTTCACAAGATAATATCTCGTTTTCACGAGATAGTATTCCGTTTTCATGACATAATAGAAAACTCGTTTTCACAAGATATTATCTCGTTTTCATAAGATAACATCTCGTTTTCACAAAATATTATCTCATCTTCACAAGATAATAGAGAGGTTGAGATTTCATACGTGTACGTGTACGTGTACGTCTAGTAGGGGAATCCCCTAAATTCCTCGCGTATTACGTCATCAGTTTTAGTGATGATAAGTTCTCTACACGTTCCTGAAACTTGTAGGGCGGCGTCTACACGTAAGTACAAACTTGTAGCTTTTATAAGAAAAATACGTCTATTCATGTATGAAATTTTGATTGTTATACTTTATTCGGGATATTTAGTTTCATAACTACGTGTTTTAAAGTTGTTTTATTTACAAACTCAAGTCAAAATGGTGTCATAAAACTTGAATGTTGAAATAAAGACCCCGATCACCTCTCACTAAATGAAGACACGTTTAGCAGGGATTTTATTACTTGTATGAGGTTTACTTTTCATTTTTTTTTTATTATTTTACTATTCAGTTCCAATTATCTCCTACTTTTTAAAAATACCAATAAGTTAAGTGGCACTAGAGGGGGGTGGGGGTATTTATTACTGATTTTTTTTCGCGAAGCAAAACATCCAAACAGGAGTTAACTTTCCCAACGTTTAGTAATTAAACTTAAAATTATATTTATCTCTTACCTCCTGGTAAACAGTGAAACTTTGATTGGCCAGGACCTCAAACTCTAAAAAAAAAAGGGGGGGGTAACAGTTTACTAACTTGCGTAGCTGTCGCACACTTAGAAAGCGCATCGTATTTTCATACTACAGTACATTAATAGAAGCTTTCCGGAATATATCGAATATGGATCATATACATGACATATATACTTAAATCTTTTCAAAGGTAACATTTCAAGTTCAATTTCTAAATGTACTTTTAAGTAAAATGGTTTCCACGATTTTTTTTCAGCCGATATTGGGCCTGTTATATGTACATTCAGTCAATCACGTGCAAAAAGGTGTATATCTAACCATGGATTCGGGAAGGAAAAAACAATTTAGGTTTTCAGAGCAAGACGACATAAAACTTTTGAGGTAAGAATTACTTAAAGTTAAAAAAGAAAACAATTCAAGTTTCTAACGAACAGAAAAAACATACCTAAGTTTTACTACTGTAACATTTTAGACAAATGTCAAAGATGTGTTTTACCAAAATTTTTATTTTTACCCTTGAAATAATTTTTCTACCGTATTTATTTAAGTTTCTAATCTATGTGTTTTTTACTTTCACTAATTTTTTTAAAAAGGAATTGATAAATGTAATACATTGTCTGAAAAATATAAATATATATTTTTAAAGTTTTAGTTAAGTAAATCATTTTTTTTTTGTTCTAACTTGTCTTTAGAGAGGTTATCAGCAGGAACCCTTTCAAAGAAAGGGGCAAATGGGCAGATATTTCATCAGTTATGTCCCGGAATATCGATGCACGAAGGGTTAGAGAAAGGACTCTTCTTCTTATAGACCAAAGGAAGAAGTTTAACAGCTCCTCTCTCAAAAAGTATGCAGCAAATTATCTAAATTAAGCATGTTAAGAATGTACATTGTTATTATGTAATAAGCTTGTCTTTATTCCTGTTCATTTCATACCTGTAATGTACAGAACTTTAGAAGTTCTACGTATCTAAATATATTGTTTCTTAACTCAGAATTTGAATTTACTTTTTAGACTTTAATTTGAAATCATTAACACATTGTATTTTTGCAATGTTATTATCACTGTAGATCTGGTGTAGATGAAACCTATGGAGAGAAAGAAATGCTTTTGGATGAAATAATAGAATTAGCGAACGATGAAGAGGAGAAAAAAAGGGAAGATAAATCCAAAGCAGTAAAAGAAGAGAGCATGTGCAAGAGTCTTCGTAAACGGGCACTCGAGAACCTGACACCATCCAAAAGTGGTGAGGTTTTTTTTCAGAGAGAGAGAGAGAGAGAGAGAGAGAGAGAGAGAGAGAGAGAGAGAGAGAGAGAGAGAGAGAATGACGTAATTAATATATTTTTTGTTTACATGCGCATACAGTTCTTGTAACTTTATTTCATATAATTAAGATAAATCTCTGTGAACGTTGCCATTTACATATAGTTGTGTTTTACATAATTATTTCTTCCGTTCAAATCCAAGGATAAATTCATACTAGCTAGTTGCTTTTGATATAAAAGTCCATTAACTGAAATAACTTTAAAAATGGTATGTTAACAATCTTTATGTATGATCACTAAATTTTTGCGAGACTGACGTCTCGACATTTACTCTTTTGACAAACTTTTAGCAAATTGAAGTAATTGCTGTATAAATTTTTTACTATTTTACGAGAATTAATTTCTTGCAAGGAAGCTGGTTAGAGCCAGGTAAAAATATTCTGGCGGCCGCCACTTAAATAACTGGCGGCACCCATATAACTTCTGGCGGTCCCCAAGACCGCAGGTTAACTATTCAATCTACATATATGTAGTTAATCTATTTATCGGCGGCCGCCAGCTAAAATATTTTTCTACCTGGAACCTACCGACTTTCTTAGTCTCGCGTAATCACAAGGTAAAAAAATCTCTTGAATGAAAAATTATTTTCCGTTGATGATATATGTATGTCTTAATCGATTATTTTGTTTTGATTTTTACTTAGACGAGGACCAGCGAAATAACAGTAAAATGCCTAGAAAGTGTTCAAGTGTGATATCCTTTTTGAAAGAAAAAGCAGAGACGGAAAAACAATCCAGAGATGAGGAATTTTCACTCCGTCGAGAGCAGCTAAATTTGGAGAAGGAGCGGTTTGAACTGGAGAAACAGGAGAGGCTTCAAAGATTGGAGACTGAAAAGCAGCAGACCACAATGATGTTAGAACTTTTCTCAAAATGTTTAAATAAATAAATGGATTATCTTAAGCATTTACCTAGCTTTTCTCAAAATATTTATATAATTTATATTTAAATAGATCATCATAGGAATTAGCTAGCCATGTAATAAAATACGATGTAAATGCTTAAAATTTCCTTGATGTTTTTAAAACATGAACAAGAAATCAATAAAAAGCATAACAACGAAAGAATTTTATTTCAATATACATACATTGTTTTAGAATAAATAGAACCATGTAACCGTTCGTAAAATGTACAGCGATATCACATACACTTTATGCCATGTATTCCTCAAGTGTAGGAGGTGGAAGATTAAAGTACTCGCTCGTAACACTACCATACAGACAGGTGTGGCAATTTGTGAGCAATGATGCTACAAGATAGTACTTTGCCACAGGTTGTAAAAATAGTTTCTGATTTTTCTTATAGTCAACGAAAGCAAACAGAGAGAGGATTTTTCCGAATGTCCATTCAACGCTAGAACGGAGCTTTGACATTCTACAATTAAATATTCTTTCCTGATTGCTGAGAACAGCTCCTTTGAAAGGTGTGATAAGGTGCACACGCAACGGATAAGCAAGATCGCCGTAAAGAGAAAATACTGTACCATCGTTCATTGTCATGCATTGTTCAAGTTTTGGAAGTAGTTCACTCATACGTAGCATCGCAGAATCATGGCGCTTTGCCTCTATAGGGCCATACATGTTTGCGATTAAACCATTAGGTATGACTACAGATTGAAATTTTAATCCATGCACCCTTTTGTGTCCACTGTAGACTAAGTTTTGGTTCGTCGAAGGTCTACATATCGGCCTGACGGTTCCATCTATGAAACCCCAGGTTCCATCTATGAAACCCCAGCAGTTGGGGAGAGGTCCACCAATATCTGATATGGCATCAGCATACATTCGAAGGTGTTCTTCGTCCAGCCAACTTTGATTCAGGTCACTAAATTTACCCGAATGTTTGTGGTACAAGTAATCCAAAACAGTATTTGAAATGTATGAAAGTTCTGACTTCGAACGGTTGAACAATGGTCTCATGTCATCAAGCCTATTCGGATATGACAAGCGCCGAAGCAGTATCATGACACCCTCTGTAGAAGCCACCCGAGTACCATTCGGGCATACGAATTTGTCTGGAAGGGACAGTGCCTCGCAAAGTCGAGAAATATCATTCTTTTGAAATCGAAAGAATGAATAAAACGCTTCTTCAGATAAATTTTCTAGATTTAGCTGTTGACTTTTGACATCGTCTTCCTTAATTGTAGAGATGAGCAGCAAATCATCGTCTTCACATAGACAAGCAATTTCCAAAGCATCTGCCATTATTTACGGAAACGTCATAGACGAAAATGACGTCATTTCTGAAGACATCGAAAATAAAGTGCGCGAAATAATCGTACACGTTCTCGTTACACGTCATTAAAATCTCAACAGACAAAATACGAAAACGTGTACGTGTACGTCTAATTATCCGTACACGTACACGTACGCGTACACGTTTAAAATCTCAACCTCTCTAATATATCGTTTTAACAAGACATTATTTCGTTTTCACAAGAGAATAAGTCGTTTTCTCAAGATATTATCTCGTTTTCATAAGATAATATCTCGTTTTCACAAGATGATTTCTCGTTTTCACAAGATAATATCTCGTTTTCACAAGATAATTTCTCGTTTTCACAAGATAATATCTCGTTTTTCACAAGATATTATCTCGTTTTCACAAGATAATATCTCGTTTTCACAAGATAATATCTCGTTTTCACAAGATAATATCTCGTTTTCGTAAGATAATATGTCGTTTTCACGAGATAATATCTCGTTTTCACAAGATAATATCTCGTTTTTACGAGATAAACTTTTCCCTGGTATCTTTAAAAAAATAATTACGTGTCCTAAATATACCACCGTACTGAAACTAACAGTGACATGTGTTAAGCTATATATAAAATCTAAAATACAAAGTTTGGAATATTTCAATATATTCTATATTTTTAAGGTTGAGTATTAAATTCATTGTATCAAATTAAAAGTTATTTAATAGATTGTTAGCTTCTGTATTTTCAGTTTTAAAAAATGGTTCTTTTAAAAGGATTTGAATATCATTTTATTTATCCCTTTGTTTGTATCTCCTTTTTTTAGCTATCTGAAAATCTGTCTCTGGCTTCACGATACTCCCTTGACTAGATAGAAAACACAGTAAAACTTTAAAAATTACCATTTATATAGCACAAGAGCATATATAGATATTTTGACAAGTGATATCTCATTGTTCAGGAAAGATATATGTGTGTTTCTCTTAGATATAACTAGCAATTTCGAAATTTTTTATCATTAAGGTTTGCAACTGCGACGCTTAATGATACACCGGTGTGTATCATTAAGCGTCGAATATGTCGATATTTGCTTGTTGCATTAGGCGTCGGTGTTGCACTGCATTTGTGACGCTTAATGATATAATTCTGTCATTAAACGGCGATTTATCATTAGCGGTTGATGATGTCAGCTATTAATGCAATGACTTATGGCATTTAACGTTGCAATTGCAACGCTTAATGCTATTTGTATCATTAAGCGGCGTTTTATCATTAGAGGTTGCTACAGTGCCCAGACTCACAGTTTTTTGGTCCAAAATATACATAATATTTAATTAAATCATTTTTTGTGTGGCTTTGGGCCCCTACCCAACGTTCACATGCTTTTAAGCATAAGTAAGTAATAACATTTAAATGCTATCAGCTATCAAGCATTTACAAATTATCAGAGAAAAGTTCTCATTTGCCAACCCCGAACTTACGGCTATTTTCGGATTATAGAGTATTGTGCCATTAGTGGCCGTCCAAATTCACATGCAGTGCGTGTATTTTTTTTGTGTTTTAGTAAACTTTATGTGCATACTAATCATATACTATTATGTATTATAATTTGGTCTTCATTTCAATAATATAGGAGGGGTGAATCAAAGATGTTTTTGACATTTATGCAATTAAAACTGCATAAAGAAAATGATTGCAAGTTCTTTAATCATGATAAATCCTTAAAAAGAATAGATAAAACATGAAAGAAAATACTCATAATCATTCTTTGTGATCTTTCATTCAATGTCTGTAGTTTTTTTATAGACATTAATGTATCCGCTTATAATTTGTGCTTTTAATTTCTCAATGCATTTGATTTTATAATCAGACTTTTTAAAAATGACACAGCGTTATAGAATGATTAATGTACCAAAAAATTGAAGTTTTCACCATCAATTCTTATTAGTCAGTAATGCGATTACTTATGTGAATGTTTTTATTTGATGTTGCTTTTCTGTGAATTCTTGGATCCACGCTTCGGCTGCAGAGGATCTTTACACACGCGCTGACCTAGTTAGAAGATTCTATCGAGTTCTGGCCATCATTTAGGTAATAGCCAAGAAGACTTTACATATAAGAACATACAGTGTATATTTTGGAAAACCCCATTATTCAGGCGATTGTGCACATGTGTTGGTCTCTGTATGATTTCTTTGCAGCTTGTTTTCTTTATCACACTAATAAGGCAGATCGGTCGTTGTTTACATCTCTATATTTAGAAAACTAAAAATGCATCATCGCGTCAAACTGAGCAGTCGGTGATCTTCGGGTGGCCTCGCACTTTTTGAATATAGCGTAGTGGAGTCAGCCGAGGATTGCAGACTGAAAAATCGCTGCTTACACTGGGACTTCACATCAGGAAATCAAACTTAACGTGTCATCTCTCGTGAGAGATGACAATAAGCATCGTACTTCTTTTCTAAATTTTCCTTGGCTTTCAAATAAGCCTAAATCGAAAGTAGATCACACACTTCTTAGCTAGTTCTTCTAAAAGAAAACCAGTTTATAGGCTACTTGGAACTCCTTGTGTAGATTCTCACTTGAGATATTGTAAAACATGGAGGATTCCCGATGAATTAATGGAGGCTTACACTAGGACTTCACTTCCGGCATACAATCTTAATGTGTCATCTCCCGAGGGAGATGACAACAAGGCTCATATAGATGATCCCTACTCCACAGCCATAAAGACGCTCTGAGGAAAGTTCGCAGCATAGTACAGCAAACGCTTCGGGATATGTAGGACTCCTGGCTGAATGCTAAAGCTGACGAGATCCAACGCTACGCCGAATCTCATGACAGGCCCAGGAAGAACTTTAACTTTGCAATTGGACTTGGGGAAGTCTACGGGCCAACTCCATCAAGCTCATCCACTCTCCTCAGTAATGACGGTTTAACACTCATCACAGAGAAGGAAAAGATACTCGACCGGAGGGCAGAATATTTCAATGGCGTTCTGATCTGCCAGTCTACCATCAACAAAGAAGCCATCAACAGACTTCCCAGGTTCCCATCAACCAGTCACTGGACACTGGACTGGATTTACAAAGAAGGAAAACTCCATCATCTACTTGTGAGAGAATCGGCCTGACCAGTCACCTCCGCACCCACTGTCCAGGTCATCCCACTCCCCCCACAAAGATGAGACAGTTGTCATCGTCGTTACCGACGGACGAATAACTAAACTAGTATATGAGTGTTGGTACTTATCTTTTTCTTTATATAAATTTTTTAGGTACATGTTATTGTTGAATAAAAGTGGTAAAAATATGCAATTTTGGTTAGAATTAAGGCTAGTAACTCAGTTAATGCTCTTTTAATATGTTCATCATATCTCGGAGAAATTCTGGTAGAACTTTCTATCATGGTTGGCAACTGTGTGACAAATACTTTGCAGGCTGCAAATATATTTAGCTCAAAATACCTAATTTGAGCAAATAAAGGGCAATAACTGTGTCTCCAGCATTGAAGCCACAATAGATTTGATGCTATCATACATTTTCTCACAAGTTAGGTGTATACCTTACCAAATATCACTAAAAAGTTTATTCACCCAAATTGGTACCCACCACCCCCTGTGCCTCATGGACTATTCAGCTCTTTGAACACAAATACCCTGATTCCAACTTTTGAGGTAAACATCATAGAGACATCATAGATGACTATCAGAGTGTGTATCACAATCTTTACCATAAGGTCAATTAAAAATGGTCTAAGGCACAACAAATGGAAATGGGAATTAGTTTGACAGAATACATAATTTTATAATAAACAAACACTGGAAATTTACTCTCATAATAAGCCTTAAGGGGAGACAGGACACATGTCACATGACTAAAAAGACATATTACGTCATAATCGGTAATGATATACATGATAAACGTTGTTAAAATCAACATTTCTTGCGTAATTTTATTCTAAATTCGTTTTTAAAACATTTAATTTTAGAAATTATTATTAATAAAATTTTTTAAAATCTTGCCATCATTTAGATATTGTGAAGTTGCCCAATCCACACATTTTTTTCTCTTTACCCTGCAGTCTGACGTTAGTGACGTCATAAACGTAGTGTTTAAAAATTCTCAGTGCAGCGAGATCAAGTACACACCCGTCATGATCAGTTTTATTTCATAATAAAAAGGTCACAGTCAATGTATCGTGAAAAATTTCTGAAGCAGATTTTCTTTAATTAATAATTTTTCGTGTTTAGTAGCAGATATTCTCTCTATTTAGATATTTTTGAATTTTTATGTTTTCTTGTGACGTCACAATTGATTTCCCGCACTCGGAAAATACAAACGTGAAGCGTTTTTCTCATGCTTACGTCAAATTCAACGATGTCCTGTGCGATATTGAGGTAAGCTTCACCCTGTGACATTTATGCAGTAAATAGTTACGATGAAGGACTGATATTCAAACGTAAATTTAGAAATATTTATTGACAGATTTTATTCCAAATGAGGTTTTTGTCGTTGAAGCTGCCTTAAAAAATGCAGAAATTATCCTACCCAAATACTATATAAGATTAAAACAATTGCTTTCAGATAATTTAAACACCATGAATATTCTGAAATATTTGAGCATATAGTGTTATCTATCATATTTATCGTTTGTGCGTAAAAATTCGCATTATGGTCTCCGTTATGGGCTCGTAAACATGAAGTATCTATAAACTCCATACAAACTCTAAACAGGGCGGTTTTTGTGGGGCGATATCTTTTAAATAAGTCAAGAAATCCCATGACAGGACCATTTTAAAATGTTAAGTACACATTAAATTAGTAATATAAAAAATATGAAAAAAATTCATTGACAGGAATTTTTTCAGCTAAAGGTCCTGTTCCTCCTTAATGTCCTCCAAGAGTTCAGTTTGGACTTCCTCCATTAATCCTTGTATCTTCTCCAATGGTTTTGTGGGCTAAAAATCATGTGTCTTTAATAACATTTTTTTCTGACAACTGTTTT